GGATGGAGATTCTCCTTGGCTCTCTTTTTGTCATTAATATATTTGTAAAAACTTTTTTTGTTGTCTTTAACGACAGCGGCCATATTGCGTTCTAGCTGGGCTTTTGCCTTTCTCATTTCTTCTCTGCACGACCTAACGAGATCCCTGTACTCTTCTGGAGTCGCCTGCCCCTTCTTCCACAAGTGGTAAACTCTCCTTTTTTTCCTGAGTCCCAGCAAGAGCTCCCCGTTCAGCCAGGCCGGTCGTCTTCCCCACCCGTTCTTATGGCGCATGGGGAAAGCCTGCTCCTGTGCCTTTAAGACTTCCTTCTTGAAGATCGTCCAGCCTTCCTGGACCCCTTTGCCCTTCAGGACTGTCTCCCACGGGACTCTCTCAACCAGTGTCCTGAACAGGCCAAAGTCCGCCCTCCGGAAATCCATGGTTGCAGTGTGACTCACATCCATGAGTGATGCCACGTGGCCAGGGGTTAGCTGGGGAAATGTGCATGGGAAGACGGGGTTTGGAGATGCGGGATCAGTAGGATCGAGGCTTCAGTGTGGCCTTTGCTCATGGCACGGCTTGTTTTTGTGTTTTCTGAAATGCCAGAACCTGGAGAGGCAGCTCCAGCAGATGAAAGCCGTCTATCAGCTGAACCAGGAGAAGCTGGAGTACAACCTTCAGGTGCTTAAGAAGCAGGACGAGGAGAACACCATCATCAGATCCCAGCAGAAGAGGAAGCTCAACCGGTAAAAATCCCTCCCTGGAAGATGGGCTCTGCCTTACCTGCCATCACCTCCCATATACCATTTTTTGTGGAGCCCATCACCCAGCACAGGCCAACGAGCTCTGTCCCAACCCACCTCTGGGCAGGGGCAGGGGTTAGCCCAGGGCAGGGCCATCCCCAGAGCACTTTGAATAGGCTGGCCGTGGCCAACCTGTGCCAGCTGCATCAGGGTCAGTCAGGCCTTGGCACTGAGTAGTCACTAGGGGATCAGCAGCCCCAAGTCCCAAAGCCTTCATACAAGCTGGGTATACCTGAAGGTGCCTCTTGGGGGATGCCCAGCTTTGCTGTCCCTCCCCAGGCTCCACAGCTTGCTCAACAACCTGAGAACAAAACTGGCCAACCAAGAGAAGCAGTTCGGAGAGGAGAACCAGAGCCTGGCAGCCGACTGCGAGCGCATCACGGGGCAGTGCAAGGAGGTGCAGAGGAGGATGAGGTGGGGTGTGCGCGGGCATCCACCCATGACGAGGCCTCGGAGCACCGAAGTGAGGTGCAGGGGGGAGCTGACTCGTCGTTTCGGGGCACGGAGCCTCCTTCCATGGGCCATCTCCCTTCTGGACAGGCACTTTGCTGTCAGCGACGCTGAGAAGTTCACGGAGGTCTGGCTTATGAACGAGGAGGAAGCCAAAGGGCTGATGCGGAAAGCCCTTGATGCAGATCGCATCATTCACACCCAGCAACTGGGGCTGCCCTGGGAAGAGCCTCGTCACTGGTTCCTGAACAACGTCGGCCCCCTCGGGCATTACAAGGCGAAGAGGATGGCGACCAAGCTGGCTGCGGAGGTCCTGACAGGTGGGATGCACGGTGCCCTTGTCAGCCTTGTGGCACTGGGAGACCCTCACCCTCCTCCATGACAGCCCCTTCTGTCACTCCTGTCCTTGCCATTGCAAGGTGGGATCTTCCAGGGGTGGCATTGCGAGCCCAGGCAGGGGCTGTCCCCAGCCCTGAGCTGGCTCATGCCAAGCCAGCTTGGGGATCTTTGCGCTGTACTTTGCCCAGTGCTCCCAGTTCCAGACAAGCTGACCAAGAGCCAGTTCGTGTCCCAAGATCTTTGGGGGGCTTTCCAGGTTGCAGGGAACAATTGTGATTTGCCTGGTGACTCCTGCAGTGATGTGACTGGGGAGCACAGCCTGGGGAGCACAGTGAAAGCACAAAAGCTTTTGCTCACCCTTCTTTCTCCATGTTTCAGAGAGCAGCTGTGGGGGACAGGAGGAGGAAGGGAGTGAGAAGAAGGAAGAAGTGGGTAGTGGAGAAGGAGGAAAAGGAAACACAGCCAAGGTTGAGGATAGAGTCACACCTCTGCGAAATATCTCCAAGAAGACTGCCAAGAGGATCCTGGAGCTCGTGAGCGACGAGTCGGTGCGTGATGACGTAGCACATGCTTTGATCAGGGGGCAGGCGTGCTGTCCCCTGGTTGCTCCAGCTTGTAGTGGATCTCTTCCGAGCTCCACGGCTTGGGGTGAAGGTTTCTGCATGGCACTGCCTTGCTATGCCAAGCAGCCTGTTGTCAGAGAGCTGCCCCAGGGGCTGGGAGAGCATCTCCAGGTCTTTCCACTGTGTGTGGCACATATATGATGCTGATAAAAGCTATCGGCAGGCACAGCCCCGTTGCCCAAATCCACAGCTCCCCAGGCCAGAATAAGCACAGGCAAACCTGCTGCATCTGATGCTCCAGGCCGTTCCCCGTCTCTGGGGACAGTCAGCAAGAGCTTCAGATCATGAGGTCCTTTTGGCGTCACCGTGCTGATAACTCTATCTTCCCTTGTCTGCTGGGTGGTTATTCCGGAGCCTCCTGGCCCTGCCAGCCTCACGCTGCCCAGCCGCTGCCCACCCTCCCCGCTCGGCCTGCCATCGCAGGATGGCACGGCCATAGCATGGCATGGGCTGGCTTCTGGGCAGGGACGGAGATGCTCGCTATTTCTCTGCACCCTCTTCTCTGCGTGTCTCCCAAGGGTTTCGTCATCGAGAGCAAGCTGCTGAGGCCCCTGCGCGCGCTGGGGAGGCACGAGCGCACCCTCATGAAGCTCGACTCCATCTTTGCGGTGAGTTGTGGTTTGGCCCGTCAGGGGCTGCGGGGAAGGCTGTTGGTCACCAGGGAAAGCTCTCTGCCCCGTGTCCGTGTGGCGTAGGACTGAGCCGCCCCAGTGAGGTCCAGCTGGGCTGCGAGGGGAGAGGAGCACTGCGAGAGGGCGTGAAGCGCTGTGGCCAGACGCTTCTCAGCTCAAGGCCGTCCTGCTGATGAATTAAATAACGTCTCCAGGGCCCCTCCAGCCTGTTCTCAGACCCTCCCATCCACAGATACCCCCGGCTGTCCCACACTAACCACCTCTTACCTTGCGTGGCATTGCCAGAGGGGCACCCTCTGCTCCTGGGAAATGCTCTTCGTTTCGCTCCCCGTCCCGTGATGTCTCTGAGGGATGCTAATCTGGTTCCTCTGCTCTCCAGGCCCTCGAGATCGACAGTGAGGATGACCTGTACCAGCTGGTGGATTTTTTCCTGAAGTACAAAGCCCAGGAGGTGGCTGTCAGCCAGGTGGGAGCACCAGGGACAGCAGTGGGGAGAGCCCAGCAGAGCCAGGGGTCCAGGAAAGGGGGAGCAGAACATCTCCTGAACACCCAGGGAAGGCAGAGAGGGGGACCAGCGTGTTGACCTTGAAATGTTTCCCTGTGACTGGACAAGGGAGGTGAACATGCCAGGGCTGAGGGGTTGTAATCTTCTTCTGCCGTGGCTGAACAGGGCCCCTTGCACATGAATTTTTGCCTGAGCTCCTTAAATTTGCCAAGGGACGAGGCTGCGGGCAGCTCCCAGGGGCAAGCTGGCTCTTGGGGAGGAGGAGGTGGTGGAAGGCACAGTGCCCAGCTTGCTGGCCTTCCCTCCAGAGCAGCCCAGGTGGAGAAGATGTCAGGGATCCGGCTGAGGCCAGAGAGGACGGTGGATCCAGTGCCCAGAGGGATGAGCTCAGACCCCCTCGGAGCTCACCAGGCTCCCTTCCGTCTGTGTACATGCACGCTGATGATGTCCTAAGGATCCTGAAAGCGTTTGTGCGGGATTTTCACAAGCTGAGGTAGGAGTAGGGGCAGAGAGGGGCTGTCGTCACTGGGAGGGAGCCAGACTGGGGCACAGAGGGGGCTGTGGAGGTGTGCAGGCAGGGCTGGGGGTGACTGTATTGCCCTGGCTGGAGCAAGAGCTTCCTCTGCCTTGCCCTGCAAGATTACAGAGGGGTGGGGAGGGTCCCACCAGGGCAAGGGGGTACAGACAGTGCCTGAGTGAGGGATGGCTGGGGACAACAAGGCAGGAGATGACCAGCAGCCCAGGGAGGGAAGCAAGGCCATGGGGCAGGCAGGTGCCAGCTGTGGGGTCATGCTCATTTGCGTGACGATGGTGATGGTGCTCAGTGCAGCTGAGGGCTACGGGGCTGTTCCTCACCCGTGAAGAGCTGAACCCCAGGGCTTTGTTCTCTGTCCCCCAGGGAGAAGGACGGATCAGCAAAGGAGGTTCTACAGGTACGGGACAGCTCCAAGGATGGGGAGTATTGGGAAGCCCTGGCACACGTCATCCCGGAGCCGACGCTGAAGCTGTGGGATGCGCTGGCAGTGGCACTGGAGGAATATTAGTGAGTGCCTGGCAAGCACTGTTGGGGACAGGGCAGGCTGGTGGTTTGGCTGGGGGAACTGCACTGACTGGCCGCGTCAACCCTCTGCCCTCCTTGCCCAGCGAGGTCCTCACGCGCAGGGCCAGCCTGCTCGCCGAAGCAGCCGTCCTGCAGCAGCAGAACTCAGAGCTGTGCCTGCTGCTGGAGGAGTACGTCAGCTCCGGGGTGAGTGCGGCATCCTCCTCCCCTGCAGCCTGGGGACACCCCACCACGTGTGCCCGATGCAGAGGTCCCAGACGTGGGGGCCACTGCCTGGAGCCCATCGTTGTCGGGCTCAGGGTGCTTCTCCCCGCAGGTGAACAGCAAGCTGCCCTCCCCTCCCACGCAGTGGATGGACCCGAACCTGTCCTGCCCCAGGGAAGCGCAGTGAGTGCCCAGGGCCAGGGCACGGCTTTTCTCTGCCCCGAGCTGAAGCTGTGTCTGGAGCCAGGGCTTCCTGGCAGGGACTAATAAACCCTTCCCAAACCTGGGCCGTGAGTGTGCGTGTGGCCTGTGAGGAGCACCCCTCTTGCCTCTGAAGATGCTGGGAAGCCGCAGCCAAGCATCTCCCCGATCCAGGGGACTCGCGGCACTGTGGGAAAGCATTTCCCCACTCATGCTACAAAGCCGTGTGGTCTGGGTCCTTCCTTCCCTCCGTGGAGCCGAACCCAGGCAGGAGCCTTCACCTACCGCAGGTCAGCATCCCCGCCGTCCCTAGGCGTCCTGGCTTCAGGAGAGCCCGCCTTTCTTCACCTGCTTTTACACCTTGTTCCCCACTTTTCCTTTTGCTGCCCCAACACCTTTTCTCCCCCTGGACTCCTCCCAAACAACCCACCCCCCAATTACTTTTCCCTCGTCGGTCCCGGTGCTGCTACATCTGTACCTAAATTCTGCATTTCCAGGGCGATATCAGCCCAAAGTGGTGCTACCGGCAGAGTTATCTCCAGGAGGGCCACGTCGCATCCGTGACTCCCTTCCACCCCTCTGGGTCACACCAGTTATATCTCGTTCCCAGTAGCCTTGACTCCCCTGCCTAACACACAGCACGAGCAGTTTCTCATACCAGAGCGGAATAACACCATGTTTTTTTGCTCACTGGGTATCTGTGCCCTTGAATAGTTTTCGCTTTTCTCCTGGTCCGCATCAGGGGATCCGGCCAGCTTCGAGGGCCGGTGACCCCGTGGGACCGCTTGCTCGCTGTACCCCTGGGGTACAGCGGGATCCACAGGGCAGAAATGCAAACAAGGCGGCCAAGACCGAGGGGGTGGGAGGCAGGGAAAGGGTTTTGGGGCAGGGGAGGCAGGGAGGGGCACGCTGCCTGGGACAAGGGAGCGGCAGACACTGCCCAGCACATCTCGGCTCGCTCT